ACGGTCTGCCGGATATGAAGTCGTCTTCTCCTCTCGCTGGCACAAATTCGATCAGATCTTTACCCTGCAGTGCAAACTCTGTCACTTCGTGCAACACCTCGTGGATGACGTTCCTGTCCTCATCACTCTTTTTCATGAAATCGCAGAGCTGATCCAGCAGAACATATTCCACACCATCTGCAACAATTACAGGAACATCTTGAAAGTCCTGTGGTGGTGTTTGTGTGATGTCCTTCATTCTGGACAACACCAAGATCTTTGCAGCACCACTTTTCAATTCGTCCTTGGACCCATCAACAAGCATGTCAGAGTTCTTCGCCATAATGCCCAGCAACTTTTTGAAATCTGCAGGTGCATACGTTCCCCCTTTTTGGTGCATTGTCATGTCCACGTCTCCATCTTCGCACATCCCTTCGTTGCACATCCACTGAACCACTCCTTTTAGACTATAAGGACTGTGTTCCACTTCGTTGTCCACGTGTACACATGGTGACTCTCTGAAGCGTTGCAAGAGCATTCGTGCCTTGACACAGCCCTCGTCATTTGCCATGATTGTGGATCTCATATCCACACTGACTGCGAAGTACCTCGGCACCCTCTCCTTCAGCAAAGAGAACTCGATGTCACCGTTGTAGTGGATGCCCTCCGCTGCATACTTCATTACCTCAGCAAGATCCTTCTCCACCTGTGCTACTGACATCGACATGATGGTACAGTTTGTCTTTTGTCCTCTTCTCTCTGCCAGGCGAAACGCACAATGACGTCATCGACATGCATGTGTGTGTGTGTGTGTGTGTGTGTGTGCATGTGCATTGGCGTGTGTGTGTGTGCATGGTTTGTGCATGGTCTCCTTATCTATGCCCAAGTTGGCTACTGCGTGCCATTCCAAGTCGCAACGGTGGTGATTCCTCAGATTCTGGCACGCAGTAGCCAACTTCATTGTTGCATGCCAGAATGTGTGTTTGTGTGTGTGTGTGTGTATGTGTGTGTGTGTGTGTGTGTGTGTGTGTGTGTGTGTGTATGTGTGTGTGTATTAGTGTACACGTGCGTTGATGTGTGTGTGTGTGTATGGTCTGACCTATGTGTCTCCTTCACTGTGCCCAAGTTGGCTACTGCGTGCCATTATCTGTCGCAACGGTCGTGATTCCTCAGATTCTGGCACGCAGTAGCCAACTTCATTGCTACATGCCAGAATGTGTGTTTGCGTGTGTGTGTGTGTGTATGTGAGTGTGTGTATGTGTGTGTGTGTGTGTGTGTGTATGTGTGCGCGTGCATGTGTGTATGTGTGTGTGTGTGGCAGACAGACAGACAGACAGACAGACATACACACAGACAGACGTATAGAGAGACACACACACACATACATATGGACAGACATACATATGGGCTGACTGCGTGCATCTGCAGTGTTATCGGTGGCTGGCACGGGCTTTGGGCTCTTCTTCTTTTTGTCTGCAGGCGTCTTCCCAGTTGGCGGTTTCGACGCGCACTTCTTCATCTTCCTCGGGCTCTGGGACATTGCAGCGTGACTTGGGCCGACCGTTTCCCCCTGTGCTGCAGAGCACCCTGCGCTGCCACCAGGACCACATGCGCCCTCCACCTCAGCAGACAAACGGGAAATTCTGGAGCGCTTCTCTATCCTCTTGCCCTTCCACGTCAATCCACCTGCCAAGTCGTTCTCCACAACATACCGAATGTCTCACAGGAGTCCATCTGAGCAGGTCAGATGGAAAGGCACACCAAGCGGGTCTGTGAATGTCATGGTGACGCCTCCACCATGCTCGTATGTCATGCGACATACGACTGAGACCCAGCCAAGAAGGGTCGTGCAACGGTGCCTGCGGCGAATGTGAGCCATGTATATGTTCTCACCGTCGCTGTGCTCTTGCCCAGCGCAACTCCCCTCAACCATGGACCACATCCCCTGGTCTGCCATGGAGTCGTAACCGGCACACACCATCTGACGGTCCTCCTCCTTGATCTTCTCCCAACAGCGCTTTGCGTGTTCAACCAACAGCACGTGGTCCTTAACATTTACATTGAAAATTGAGACACGTGCCAGAACAGCCAGGAACTGCCAATGCTCCACAATGCCTGCATGCATCCATCCCAATGGGAGTCACTGCCCTGACTGCAGCTTTGCTGCCATCGTCACCTTGCCATCAACCACTGCAGGATGCAAACATCCCGGGACCCAATTGACGCGATAGCCATACTTTTCAGGGGCCATATGCTGCTGCAACTGTCCCTCAGGGATGACATGGGCCCCAATGTCCGTGGCAGTCAAAACGTCACGCCTCAATGTGACATGGTCCCATATCTGCGACCATAGTCCATCATACGTGGCTTCCTGCCCTCTTACAGCTGTGTATGTGGCACCATCCTCACCAGAGAACAGTTTCCCGTCCACCACCTCCAACTCCATTGGGTTCCAAAGCGGTGGGAAAAAGCACTCAGCAGTATGAGGGGGACATGTCATTGCCTTCTTCTCCTCTTCTGACACCTCCCTGTTGAGATGCCTGAAGGAGAACCTGCCATTGATGTAATGCGTGTTCCAGACATTTCCCATGGCATCACGCATCTGCATCCTCACCCGGCCACATGTAATCGGGATCTCATATGGCACCAAACCCCACCTAGGATCCCTCCTTGCATCATTCTCGGGGCACACCGTTCTCGTTGCTGCATCGTTCCCACCAATCACCCATGGCGTTCCGCAATCAAAACTGTCGTACAAAAAATTGTTAAGCCTCAACTCGCCCCTCGCCTCCAGAACACGCCACATTTTCAACACATGTTGCCCTTTCTTCCGAGCTCTTGCCGCATCGTTCAACCTTATAACTCTGTCAAACACGATTGACAGAGTCACGTTTCGCCATGCGCTTGTTTTGGAGACAGGAAATGGAACCCAAGTCCCAGCCACTTTGAACGCGAAGCAGGGTACTCCTCCAACAATACCCGGTTGAACACGACCAGGCACCCAATTGATGTCATATGGGAACTGTTCTCTTGCTAATGTCTTGACCACATTTTCATCCTCAACAATACACCCTGCATGATTTTCCCTGCTCCCCATACCTCCCTCTCCTCTCTCTTCCCCAACCTTTTCCGTCTCACAAGTGCTCCCTCCTGCATCATTGTCTGATTCATCACCATTACCCATCATCTCTGCAGTATGTGCATATATTGTTGCCAGCACGTCTGCACAGTCAGTGGTGTTCATCTCAGCCGAAATCCCTTCCTTGCTGCCATCTGCAAGACCCTTTACAATGTCCTCTGTCTCCATGGCGCAAGTCTCTCCAGCGTTGACAGTCGATGCAATCGCGGGTTCCATCTATTGCATGAGACACCACGTACATTTATGAGAACACGTAGCTCCGCCATGCCCCCCTCACCCCAGGAGAGAGAGAGAGAGAGAGAGAGAGAGAGAGAGAGAGAGAGAGAGAGAGAGAGAGAGAGTTTTGACAGTAGAGAGAGGTTGCTTACTGCGGGCCATAACTCAAACAAACATCACATTCTTGCCAAATACAGACGAAGTAGTGAACCTCTGACAGAGAGACATGCATAGATACATCAACAGCACGAGGTTCACTACTGCGGGCCAGAATGACAACAAACAGCACCGGTTAACACTTACATGGCACGCAGTAGTGAACCTTCCGTAGTTGGGAAACTACAGCGCGCTACCACCGCGAGGTTCACTACGGCGGGCCATAACTCCAACAAACATCACTTGAAAGACCGAAATTGGCTGGCAGTAGTGAACTTCATGCTGTCGGACAGGCTGTGATGCATCGACAGAGGGCGGTTCACTACTGCGGGCCACAACGATAACAAACAGCACCAGTTAACACTTACATGGCACGCAGTAGTGAACCTTCCCTAGTAGGGAAACTACAGTGTGCTACCACCGCGAGGTTCACTGCTGCGGGCATAAATCTAACAAACATCAGTTGAGAGATCGAAATTAGCCGGCAGTAGTTAACCTCATGCCGTCGAACAGGCTGTGATGCATCGACAAAGGGCGGTTCACTACTGCGGGCCAGAACGACAACAAACAACACCGGTTAACACGTACGTGGCACGCAGAAGTGAACCTTCCGTAGTTGGGAAACTACAGTGTGCTACCACCGTGAGGTTCACAACTGCGGGCCATAACTCCAACAAACATGACATGAGAGATGAAAATTGGTCGGCAGTAGTGAACCTTGTGGTGTCGGACAGGCAGTGATGCAGCGACAGAGGGCGGTTCACTACTGCGGGCCAGAACGACAACAAACAGCATCGGTTAACACTTACATGGCACGCAGTAGTGAACCTTCCGTAGTTGGGCAACTACAACGTGCTACCACCGCGAGGTTCACTACTGCGGGCCATAACTCTAACAAACATGACATGAGAGATGAAAATTGGCTAGCAGTAGTGAACCTTGTGGGGTCGGACAGGCAGTGGTGCAGCGACAGCGGGCGGTTCACTACTGCGGGCCAGAACGACAACAAACAGCACCGGTTAACACTTACATGGCACGCAGTAGTGAACCTTCCGTAGTTGGGAAACTACAGCGTGCTACCACCGCGAGGTTCACTNGACAACAAACAGCACCGGTTAACACTTACATGGCACGCAGTAGTGAACCTTCCGTAGTTGGGAAACTACAGCGTGCTACCACCGCGAGGTTCACTAGTGCGGGCCATAACTCCAACAAACATCACTTCAGAGACTGAAATTGGCCGCCAGTAGTGAACTTCATGCTGTCGGACAGGCTGTGGTGCATCGACAGAGGGCGGTTCACTACTGCGGGCCAGAACGACAACAAACAGTACCGGTTAACACTTACATGGCACGCAGTAGTGAACCTTCCGTAGTTGGGAAACTACAGAGTGTACTATCACGGAAGGTTCACTATTGTGGGCCATAACTCCAACAAACATCACTTCAGAGACCGAAATTGGCCTCCAGTAGTGAACTTCATGCTGTCAGACAGGCTGTGATGCATCGACAGAGGGCGGTTCACTACTGCGGGCCAGAACGACAACAAACAGGAACAGTTAACACTTACATGGCACGCAATAGTGAAACTTTCGTAGCAGGGAAACTACAGTGTGCTACCACCACAAGGTTCACTACTGCGGGCCATAACTCCAACAAGCAGCACTTAAGAGACCTTAATTGGCCGGCAGTAGTGAACCTCATGCTGTCCGAGAGGCAGTGATGCAGCGACAACGACGGTTTACTACTGCGGGGCAGAACGACAACACAAAGCGCAAGAGGGATATGTACATGGCAAGCAAAGCATGCAATCAATGAAACATCTCATCTGCCAGTCAGCGAACAGTGACATGATTGGATGTTTGATTGATCGCATGCTTGCCTAATTAGTCGATTGCTCGGTCGGTAGTTTAGATGATCGATTGGTCGGGTGCGAGGTACGAAATCACACACCTGATATCACAAATCCGGAACGACCACAGACAGGGAGGTCCCCCGCCTAAGACGCCACCACATGTGGGCGAACCTCGATCATCGACGACTTCATTGTTCATCAATTAACTTCATGGAAGTTCGCCCGACTGAATGACAAAGTTCACCTGCATCTAGACTTCGCTAATCATCGTACAAAACAAAGTTCGAAAATAAGAACACGGAACGCAGAACACAGGCCTAACGCAACGCAGAACGCGGGTCGAAACTTGAAGTCCGCCGGTATCCGTACTTCACACAATGCCCAAATGCCCCGACGATAATTGAAGTCCGCCGGTATCCGAACTTCACATGTTGCGCAAAGGCGAACTTGGTCTAATTTAGTTAACAACGCCGCTTTTGTGATCGCAGCTGGACGTATAAACTATTCAAGTTCGCCGGGATCCAAACTTCACAGATTGGCCAAAAACCTAGGCTACCAGAGTGGCCCAGAGTCACTTGCCTGGCCGAGCAAAAAAAATTAAAAAAATTAAACATATATATATTTTTTTACATTTTTATTTTTATTTTAAAATTGGTAAAGAATTTCAATATGACCCTGAGGCAAAAGTTGTTCATTTTATTTTTTTTCATAACATAGTTTGTTTTCGGATTTTTTTTTTTTTTTTTTTTTTTTGCTGGGACTCTCCCTAGTCCTTGCACGGGCTGGCCACCCGGGACCTGGGCGGCCCGGCTAGCCAAAAACAGCAAATCCTGAAGTCCGGATGCCGGCGAACTTGAGTGATTCTCTCCTCTCATACGAGTGTTGGATTCCGCTTGTTAACGGAGCCGTGAGAACATCCCCCGCCCACGACACTCCGAGTTCGGCGGGATCCTTCGGACACTTTGGAAAGGGTACTTGGGTTTAACCTTGATAACACAATGATTCCACATATTGCAGAACATGGGGTAAGACGTTAAGTCTGCCGGCATCCGAACTTCACATGTTGTCCAAATGGCGCGCGTAAAGCAATTTGAAGATAACGTGTGAGCCCTTGAAGTTCGCCGACATCCGAACTTTGCAGATTGCCCGGAAATATCAAATCCCAAAGTCCACATACCAGCGCACTTGAGCGATTCGCTCCTTCCGCAGGAGTATTGATGTCCGCATGTTAGCGAAACCCACCATTACAGCCATGCCATCATCACTTGTACTTCGGTGGGATCCACCCGTCGACCACTTTGGGGAGGGGTATTCGATTTAACCTCGGTAACACCACAATTCCAAGCATTGCAAGACATGAGAGAAAACATGAAGTCCGCTGGCATCCGAACTTCGCACATTTCTCGAACGAGGCAAGTGAAGAAGTTTGGATTCCGACAAACTTTGTGCAACTGAGTTAACAACTGGACTCCTACAACTGCAGAGGATGCGTGACTCGCTCAAGTTCTCCGACATCCAGCTTCACGCATTGCCAAAAAAAACGCAAATCCTGAAGTCTGGGTACCGGCGGACTTGAGCGATTCCCACCTCTATTGCGAGCAATGACGTCCATAAGTTGAGGAACCCCGTAAGAACACCCCTGCCTGCAGCGCTTGGAGTTCACCGGGAGCCGACGTTAGAATAATATGTGAAGGGTGTTCGGTTCAACCTCGGTCACACCACGGTTCAACTTCGGTGACTCCACAAGAAAAGGCAACAGGTCTCGTAGTTCGCAGGAATCGATTAAGGTCCACCGGGAAATGAACTTCACAAATGATGTCCGTAATCGGGTTAGTCGCATCGTAGGGGGGGCACGAGTCGGATGATAGGTTAGCCATACACACAGATTGCTTGCGTTGGTCGAAGTGGGGTGTTAGAGGGCCTCCTACTCGAAGTTCGTCGGAATCCGTACTTCGCATGCAACGTCCGAATATTGTGCGCTCCTATAGGTAGAATGAGGATGTGGTTTGTGATTTTGAATTCCCCCCACCATCCGCACACCTTTCTGTCACTTGACTTGTATTCCACTGGGATCTGAACTTTTGCAGCGGGGGGTTTTCCTAAAGTTGTCCGTGTGGTGGCTTGCTTCATTTGCTTTGTCTTTTGCAGACACAATGTGTACTTTGAGGGGTGAGGAACAGGTTGTCGAAACCTCCGGGAGGGGGTCAAGGGAAGACTCTGCAAGACGGTCTTCTACGACCACCAAATCGCGGTCCTACCATGTCAGTACCAAATGGTTCGTCGATTGGTGTTGTGGGGATGTTTCAGACCCCGCTAAGCAGCCGTCTGGTCTTGTCATTTTCATCGAAGACCACCACCAGCGTAGAGTGCTTGGGACCGTCGCTGGGTGGGAGGATGTGAAGGAGGGTTGTCACCATTTCAAGATGAACACCGTTTACGGTTCAAAGGGCAACGTCATTGCTAATTCGAAAGGGAATGGGGCCATGACATGATTTGGCACCCGATCCTAAAGGGCGAGTGGATCATGGCGCTCATTGACGGTGAAGGGGGATGGTCATCATACGCACGCCAGTCCAAGTTCAGGTACCCTGAACTCGGGAGGATTTCGTTGGTCAACAAAGTGAGGGCTAAAAATCCAGAGCTTCCACACACCGACCAGTCCATCGGTTCCACTGCAGATCGTCTTTTTCACGAACTTCACAGCAGTCGGTGGTTGCACCTGTCGGACAAATTTTACGACCTTGACACGAGCCCTTCGAAGGTAAGGGTGAACTGGAAGATACCCCCTTCGACTGAGCCACTTGGGTGTTCGGCGGGGGCCCGGGGGGGACTCCGGGCGGTGGAGGGGACAGGGGGGCGATGAGGGGACTGGAAAAGGCGTCCCCCTTAGTGGACAGAATGGGCCTCACGACGAAGTGACGACAACGGAAGGCGGTGGTGGGGTAGGGAGGGTTCCCTCGCTCGACATGCAACTGCGGACT